GCTTTTTTTTTTTTTTTTAGCAAAAAAGCTTCAATCGTCTTTTTTGGTTACTGAGAATGATACGAGAAGGACAGTGGGACGAAAAAAAAAGATAAAACAAGTCTTGGTTCCCTCAAGTGGGCCCGGAAACAATCACAGCAATTGATTTCTTTCTTTTTGGTGACCCACTTGTCAAGTATACCCTGTCGCTCTCTCAACAGACTTTCTCGCTTTTCGTAAAAATCCTATCTTTTTCTTCTTTTTCGAAAAAAAAAATTACAACTCGTCGTGCGGGGGATAAAACATGTGCGCTCAAAAATTCGTTTTGACGCCATCGCGGGGACATCGATCAAGGGCAGTTTCTTTCCAAAACCACGCGTGTCAACACCGAATCATTGTTTATTTTAAAAGCAGTCACAGATTTAGAAAATAAAACAGAGAAAAACATCAACCCAAAAAGCATATTTCGAGAGGTCATAGACGTATGAACACTGGGCGATTTCTGCAGACCCCCCAAGCAATTACGCTCTCGAAGTCGTTTTGAAGCCATTAGCCCACGAAAAATGTTATAAAATAAAATCCGAAGATTCATGGCCACAAAAAAAAAAAATTCAGCTTATTGTCACAAGCAGGAAAACTTCGAGACGATTACCTCAATGGTCCTCAACACGTATTTTGAGGGAACCGATCAACAAACAAAAAGATTGAAATATTGACCGCTTTAATTATTTTAAACCTCAATATACTTCACAGAATTCGTAAGTAGTTTTTTGCCTTGAAGACAAAATGACTGGCATACGGTGATTCAAGAGCTACTGCAGTAAAAAGATCCACAACCGAGAACATTTCTGAAATTTCCGAACATGTGATCATAAAATTTGTTTTTAAGGAAGGTATGGGACAATAACGCGAAAAAAGGCGGAACAAGTCCGGAAATCACAAATCCTGGCAGGAAAAAGTATTGGCCATCTCAAAATTGAGAGAAGGGAGACATTACGGAAATTAGTATGATGCATGTACAACTGCTCTAAACGATATTCAGACATTGCTCACAGGATCCAAACTGATTCCACACTATTTAAATGGAATCAACCATTGCATCTGACCGTCAAGACTAAACATATTTTCCCCTCCCCTCTCGAAGATGCCAATTTGTCCGCGAATGTTGCAAAAATGTTCCCCTTTTCTACTCACGGAATGACCGTAAAAAGTTTCATGGTGACAAATATGCTTTTCATGTCCTCGATTTTTTTACTGTTTTTTTATATTCATGCATAAAAGTGAACGTTTACAACATGACCCTCGTTTGAAACAAATTTCGTATTGACGTGCTCTTCATTTCCTGAATTTTTCTGCTTGTTTTTTTTGCGGATTTATGTGAAAGTAGCGATTGAATCACCGTGAATTTTTATGACATGACCTTCCTTTGTCACAAATAATTTCATATTGCCATGCTCTTCAATTTTTTCAGTTTTTACGGGATTATATAAGTAGCGATTGGATCACCCTGAATTTTCATGAACGTCCGCGATCAGGAGCTGAGAATTATGAAGACGAATTTAAAAATCATCTCGAAGTTTCCCTGCTCGGGTTGAGGCTTCCTTCGCAATTACACCTCTTGCAATCTTCGACCCGTATGAAGTTTCACAACAAAAAAAAAGGAAAAAAATATTAAAAATAACTGAATCCGCTTCCTTGGCGCGGGGGGGGGGGGGATGATGCGTTCGGCTGCTGGGGGGGGGGCGTGACGACGACGTGTTGTGACACTTGTGAGGGGTCGGCATTTGGATCAGGGAGCGAATCCGAGGTGACTGATGACACAGTGGAAGCGCACTCATCAGGGTGCAGCAGCTGCTGATGATGATGATGAGGGTTTGCTCAGGACCCAGAGCACTGTTTGGAGCAGCCGCACTTGCGCACAACTTCCAGCTCTTTGATGTAGCGGGTGCCGTCGTTGCAGATGAGCCGAACCCGGCGGGTTCGCTTCTTCCGGGCTGCGCAGCACCACTCGCCGCACTCGCCGATGCAACGGGCATTCGTTATGGGCTTCCTGGACCTGCATCCGTTCTCCTTGTAGTAGTCTCTGTATTTTTCCTTTCTGCAGCTCGGCTCTGATGTGAAGCGAGGGGAAAAAAATGGTTTCCGTCAAGTTTCAAAAATAAGCGCCATCGCGAAGAAACTTATTTTAATTTAATTTTTAATTAATTTTCAATTATTTTTTCAAGAGGATTCAGACAGTGACTTGACAAAATTACGACATCTATGGGGAGGTATTTGACTCAGAGATAAGGTTCGAGTTACCGAGGTTCAACTGCTTGTATTTTGAAGCAACGTTATAAAAAATGTGAGCTCGTGATTTAGAATGACTACCGTACAGTATTTAATAGTTGATGATCATGTGTCCTCCTGTAAGAAATTTTCATTTTAATTGAAATCCTATCCCTGAGTAAGACGCACGACCCACTTTTAGCGACTGAAAAACGAAAAAATTTCTAATATACGATATATAGTCTCATAATTCCAATTTGAGGATGAATTCAACCTACTGGATTCAATAATTTTCAAATTTTTTCGATTTGGAAAACAGTTCCCGTCAACATTGCCAATTAAATTCATGTTATGGGCACTTCAACTTTGAACTTCTATTTTTTTTAAACTTCTCTTTCCGCCTCTGACGCGCACTTCCCTTTTTAACACGTTTTTATTAACTTGCTTTCTTGTCTGTTTGTTTGTCCGGATCAAATTTTGCAACTCAAATTTTGCTCACTTCCCGACTAGCTAGCAAGCTGAAACTTTCAGGATAGCTTAGAAACTGATGACAATGCAATCTTTTGTGAAAAGAATAATTATAAGAATATTTTTTAAAAAGAATAAAATAATTATAGTAGATTAAAAAATTAATCTAAAAAACCACGTTTTTCAAGTAAGACTAAAAAGCACAAAAAAATTTAGTAGATTAAAAAATTAATCTAAAAAACCACGTTTTCAAAAAGCAAAAAATAACCTTAAATGTGGTGCGCATGGAGATTGTTGGGAAGAAGTGAAATACAAATGAAATAGATGCGCACCACGTTTAAGGTTATTTTTTGCTTTTTGAAAATGTGGTTTTTTAGATTAATTTTTTAATCTACTAAATTTTTTTGTGCTTTTTAGTCTTACTTGAAAAACGTGGTTTTTTAGATTAATTTTTTAATCTACTATAATTATTTCCTCACATTTTTTTAGAAAAGAAGGTGTGCGGGGTACCGAGTAAATCTGGTTAAATTTTTTGGCCCATTCAGCCAGCTAGCGGTTCTTCAGACGTCAGAAAAAATTAAACAAAAGCTTACTTTGGTCACAAAATTGACCGCTCCAGCCTCGGCGACATTTGCACGAGTACTCCAAATCTGGGTTGGCCAGGTTGAACAAGATGTCAGCCGAATGCGACGGTTCCGGCACGCATTTCCCCTTGGCACACTTATTGCCGACACACGGGTCCGCAGACACGACCTTTTCCTGCGTGTTCAGCTCCTGCTGGTGGTGCTGGTCTGACGACTTGTCAGACTTCCATTGCAACGTCGGCTTCTTCCAGTTACGAAAGGTCTCGTCGTAGGCCTCGTCGTATTCTTCTTCCACGTCTTCGTCGGCCTCGTGTTGGTTTTCAAACCAATGTTTAGCGCTGTTACTGGCGGGTTTCTCGTGGCGAATGTGCTGGGGTATCATCGGGGTGACGGGCCAGCGGGAATCTTCTTCCTCGACACGGTCTTCGCCGCAACCCGGGACTACCTTGTGCTGTTTCCAGGCTGAATTGAAGTCCAGGGGTTTCCTGTTGATGTAGACCTTCCTCATGCAACCTGCCGTGACCAGACATGAAAAAAAGGTTCAGATAGTTTACGGATTGGTTCAGAAAATATGATTGCTTTTTTATCGAAAGCACAAAAAACCAGGACCACACGATCATATTGCTTAATGGAGACCCGTAGATATTCGATGAAGACTGGGAATTTAAAATTTATACATCGACCGCAAGTTTTCAACGCAGAAATCAAGTTTTAATTCCTGGTCCCTTAAATAAAGCATTGGAATAGCAATTGAGGGAGTTTTCAGAGGTACCGAAAATTTCAAGAGAAACTTGCTGTCTAATATACCTGCATTAATTATGTAAATAATATAGTCAGGAGGAACATTCAATAATAACCTAACATTGTGGCAACAAAGTTGGGATTTTCCTATAAAATGTTGTGTATACATGAGCACTGAAAAGAGGAAAAACGTAATCTTTGAACAACGGTGGAAGTTGGGGAAAAGTCAAATTTGACTTTTAGGAAATTTTCTGCTCTTCTAGCAGAGAATTTCGGCTGAAAAAACAATATCCTTGCTGAGTGGAGTTTTCTCATGCATTCATAGCATATTACAGTAAAAATAGGATTTACCATATTAAGTTGAGCGCCACGTTCCTTCAAGTAAGATACGTACCAGGGTTTTTCAGCATATACAGTATACATATACATATTTTTTTATTTATAAAATTCTATCTCCAAGTTTACAACGCGCACCCCATTTTTAATGACTCTAAAACTGCAAGTTTTCAAAATTAATAAATAAGACCAAATTTTGATTCAGGTATGATTTGATTTTGAATTCGACGAATTTTTAATTATTTACATCACAGTAAGTGTTTCTATTGTAATTGGTCCAATTTTCCATTACAATCGAATATAATGCTCACCTAAAAATCTAAAACTCGTTAAAAATTATGTGCACCCCCTGTTTTCCCTCCCAATTTTGAGAAAAAAAGGTGCATGTAGTACTTGAGAAAATATGGTACTCTTCTTAAATTTTTCAAAACTTGGACCCAATGGCATCTTGGTGACCCTTGGTCGAACAAAAATGAGCCAGTGTGCAGGAAAATCCAAATTTTGCCGGGATGGAAATGAATCCACGCGCGCCGTTTGAGGGTTAATCACCAGCAACGACCTCTTTATGATGCCTGCTGTACTAACCAAAAGCCAAGGTGGCAGCATCAGGAGCATTGGATTTCATCACTTATTCAAACCCTCTGACTCAAAAGAATACCAGCGTTATTAACTGTATCTGTTATTACCAACACATGCATTTGGAATCCTCACATGTCAAGTATATACATTATACAGTACAATGATGACGACATAATCATGGGACTCACCATTCAGACTCGTGGCATTCCTCAGATGGAAACTCGCCGTGGCCTTTCTCCCGATTTCCGGCGGCACTCCTCCAATGTACAAAGGCACATTGACATCCAGGTACTCCTTTTCCCCGTTGTTAATGATGGTCCTCGCCAGGCCAGAGTCCACCTTGAGCGTGAAGTTCTGCTTGACAGCGAGCAGCTCGATCCGATGCACAGTCCCGTCGGCTACTTTCTCGTAGCTGAACATGTTGGACAAGGGATAGTTGCCAACGTCGTAAGACACCCGGATGCGGCCCGTGAATAATTCCACGGCCCAATGCTGGTTTTGGCCCAGATACAACAGCACTCCTTCCTGTTGAGTTGTGCGGAAGAAAATGGTCACGTTCGCCGCAGGTCTGACTTGCAGTCCGGGCAGCTCGACGAACGACTCCTTGTCGGCGAAAGAAACTGCGGTGAGGAATTCGCATTTCTTTCCTGTGGAACGAACGAAAAAAAAAATTTGTCAGAAAAAAAGGTCAAACATATGAGCAAACAGCTCATGAATTCATGACCATGCCGTCGATGCTGTGCTGCTGCTGCTGCTCAGTACGCATTCCATGAATTTAATAACAGATATATAAGGTACCCAGGAGCATATTTTATACTTGTGTATACCACCCGCACGTGTTTCGTAAGAAGCACGCGTCCGGATTTTTGGAAAATATAATTTTTACAATTTTCTATGAATCCTATATTTTCGGTATAATTTTTAGTTGGACATGGGCATGAGAACGGCGAACACCCACTTTTTTTTTCGGACAATGCCATGCGTGGAATATTATTGCATATTGATTAAATACGTTGAGGAGCCGGTTTGCTGGTAGGGGAAAATGTATCGACCATATTTCCGCCGAGTATATTAATTTAAATAAATATGGTATTATTTTCAGACTTCTTCTGATTTTTATTTACAGTATGCCACCGGTAACATGACTAAAAAACGCGTGTATATACATATTACTGCTGTAGATACTGCATAATAAGGTTTCTTCACACTCCCAGTTACTATTATCTTCGAACACACGACGATCATGCAAGATTATGGAAAATTCTGCTCCAATATTTTTATTTATTTTTGAAGGTCACATAAATGGTACACAAGATCGCCCAGGTTTTTTATTCTATTCAAGAATGCGCAATTTAATTATGTATCCAATTATATCACCTACACCCGCGTAGCATGAGCTATTAATGATCCCCACGCGGTTCGAAAAGTCCTGCTTTATGGTACTTCTTCCTCGGCGACATCTACAAGATGGGTCGTGTACTAGCTTTTCTTGCCTTCAGGCATCATCAAGTTAGGTTAAGTCGATCAGGCTACCTTTTTAGTACGGTATGTCCTCAGCAGAAGATATACATATTAGGGTGGGTGTGTATGTCACATAGTTCGCTTTTCATTTCGAAGATGTCGCCCGCGCATAAATTCGGTAAGGGTTACTTCGAGTTCGAGAAGACAACCAGCAAGGCCAACGGTTGCATGTTTGAACTTTTTCGCTGCTGGTTGCAAAACTCAAAACGATTCGAGAAGTCAGCCAATCAGATATTACGTTTCTGTTTCTTATTTACACTTTTATGGAGTTATCTCAGCATTTTAAAATTAATTTTGAATTCGTGTTAGGCTTGATTTTCAATCTCATGGGTGTGTATAACGCTTCTGGACTATAATGCTCGTGAAGGTGGAGATTCATTTTTTTCTGAAATGGATGAGCCAATGAGCTTGATATTAAAATAATTTTTTAATGCGCATGTCTGTCAAAAAACTCGCTTTTCCTTCGACAAGTTATGTTGATATGTTGCCCGCTGCGAATCCACCAATGCATACGATGACTCATCAAAACTTGCCTGAGTAGCCTGGGGCACATTTGCAAACGTAATCGCTCGAGTCTGCCTTGGGCTGGAAGCAAATGCCGTTCTTGCAGTCGTGATGTTGACATGGCGAAGTTTGCGGATATAACATTTCTGCGACTGGAGTGCCTTCGCAGAACTTGCCCCAAAACCCTGTCGGGCACTTGCACGTGTATTCATTGACACCGTCGACGCACGTGCCTCCATTCTGTACACAGCACAAGTAGAGGAGAAAATAAAAATATGTACAGTATATACCAATAATAATTGGGTGGAATTCATCAGACTTTTTTTGCCTTTATACCAACACTAGCATTATTCCATCGCAGAGGCCCGAAAAAGTGGCGTGACTTTCCCGTCAATTGTTGGCGAAAATTATTGATGGCAAATTAATCATGATAAAGTTAGTTTCGGTTGCATACGTTTACGGATAAAATCCGAAAAAAAACGCAGATTTTTCGATGGGTCCTCTTTCTGCAGAAACTTCTCCACAGCGATAATTTTCGCATAACTAGCTCTTTGGGTACAGTAGACCCCACCCTTAAGAACCCCGAAGAACCCTTTGTGTCTATAAATGTACCAACTGCTTCTCTTTACAATAATATTCTCAATTTAAGTTCCTTTTCGGTCTTTTGAGAATCGTTCAAGAGTCAAACTTTGTCAATTTCAATTTTTAAATTTGGCACACACAAACAAAAAGAAACAATATCCTGATTTGTTTTTACCTTAGTGTCCACACTTGGTTAAATCCCAATGCAAATACGCATGAAAAAGTGATTTTACTTGAATTTTCAAGCAAAGAAACTCGTTTCACACTCGTGTCGCAACTGCAGGAAATGTAATCAAATCTCGTTAACTTAACTTTGGGAACCGATTGTTTTTCCTACCAGTCGTTTTTTCTTCTAGCAATTCTCCTTGCGTGAGCAAGAACAAAGTTGAATCGATAAAATCTGGAGACGTGTATACATATATACTCACCATGCAAAGATGGTCCTCGCAGTCGTCAATATTTACAGTGCAATTCTCGCCGAGGAAACCTTGAGGACATTCGCACGTGTAATGCGTGAAGTGGTCAACACAGTTTCCGCCGTTTTTGCAGGGATTGAATTCTTCAGTGCAGAACGGGATTTTCTTCTCGCAATAATTTCCTGGGATAAAATACCGTAAAGTCGCGTGATTAACCAAATTATAATTAGTCTTTGAGTAAATTATTGCACTTGAATACTCATGAAAATTTGTTTAGTTAAAAGCAGTTGAACAATTCGCTTCTCCGCAGAACTAATTTATTCGAACTGAGACTCCTTCGAACTCATTTTGTTCGGCATCTATCAAAGTTGATCTTTAATCTAAGCTAAGTCGCTGTACTGTGCTTGATTCATATTAATAAAATTAATAAAAAAAAATTAGGAATTTACGCTATGATAAGAAAAATAACCAATGATGAAAAAGGAAATAACAGAGGCTGACAAATTCAGCGCGAACGATCAACATGATTTCAAGCGTCAAAGAATCATCAGGAATAGGGGCAAGAGCGCGTTTTTTTCTTTTTAAACATAAACTACCGTACCTGTACTTCATGGAACATAAAATACCGTACCTGTATAGCCAGGAAGACAAGCACACTTGTATGCGCCGATTCCATCCACACACGTGGAATTATTGGTGCACTTGTGACCCACGCAGTCATCCACGTTATGTTCGCACCGATCGCCAGCGAAACCCGCAGCACAGTGACAGCTGAAAGGAATAATTCAAATGAGTTGAATTAAATATTGTAAAAAATTTGTTATTTTTTCCGTAGCTAGAAAGAGCAATTCTGGTAAAGGTCATCTCTGTCGGTGCGTGGACAGTTTTTTTGGTGCATATTTTTTTAAAGAGTGACATCATTATTTTTTCTGACTTGCTTCGTCTTGATCTCAAACCGAGATGAGAGAGGAATATAAGTTTTTCGTTCGAAGCACAGACAAAGTGAATTTACACTTAAGAGAAGTTTTTTTCGATAGATTTTTGCACCGTCAATTATTCATGGGAACATGAAAGCATTTTTCTTAGAATATTACCAACATGGAGATCAGAATGCGTCTTGGAAATAATGGAGTCTTCAATTGACACGCAAAGAGCTTATGAGGGAAGGTTCGACCATTCGAGTGAAGAAAGTATCACTTAAAATCATAAATAACATGACCAAATAAGTCAACAGAGAAACAGAAATGTATGGTTCAAAAGTGAGAAAGGAATCGGCGAATTTATGGTTCAGAAGTGAGAAAGGAATCTGCAAATTTATTTGCAAAGGAATCCTATCCAAATGCTAAGAGCACTCAAAATATTTTCAGAAGAATGCAAATTGTATTCAAGAAGATAGTACAGTATCACTTAAACATTTGAGTAATTTGTAGTTTTAACAGTATAACACAGTCTCTATCACACAGTATTTTGACACAATAAGTGCTGAAGACGTAATTTGCATTCTTCAATCAAAATTTTTATTTTTAGGGAAGGAATGATCATGGTTTTTTGCTTTTCACTGATTTTATCATCATACGCATTCGCGCAAATGTGTTTTAGCATTGTCCCCTGCATTCAAGGAAAAATCAATGGTTTATTTTAAAGATCTTGGAATACATAAATATATGCTGCGGAAAATTATATCTTTCACGCATTTTTCTCAACCGCGAATTTCGCACTATACAAACAGAAACAAAGCAAAGACTTGCCTGAATCGACCAGCTTCGAGAACTTTGCAGGTTCCCGAATTTTCGCATGGGTTCCCGTAGCAGGCATCGATCTCGTACTCGCAATGATCACCATGGAATCCCGGGGAGCATTCGCAAACGTATTTCTTTAGTGGGATCGAGTGACACGTGGCCCCATTTCTACAAGGAAATTTGTAGCAAGCGTCGCACTTGGCCAAGATTTCCGGCTCCACGGATCCTGAGAAGCACACAGCCAAAATTAGCAATCCATCTTCCTTTTCTTCGAATTCGTAAAATTGAATCTTAATCCGGAGAGATAGAAGTAACTTTGAAATTCAGAACGCAAACGTGTACATGCTCCAAAATTTCCTTTGCAAAAAACAGTAATAAAAGTCGCCCGAAAACGAGTTCGAAATTCAAAGCAAATGATATAAATTCCCTTGGGGGAAAAGGTGCATTCAAATCCTTTTCGGTCTAAAAATACCGAATCCTCGCATAATGCGATCTTCGGATGCATTCTTCCCATCATCAGCCATTATAGGAAATTTAATCATGACGAAAAGATTTCAATTTCAAAAATCATTTCATACCTTTACAAATGAACGAATCGGACGGTGAAGTGAGGATGAGCTTGTTTCTCATGGCCGGTGGATCCTGACACTTGGCGATCCCGGGCTCCACGTAATCTCGCTTGACCCAGTCGGAAAGCCACAAAAGGTCGCAATCGCAATATAGTGGATTCGACCCAAGCGCCCTGCGAAAACAAATTTCCCCGACATACAAAAAAAACGGAAAGGTGCGATATTTCAATCGATCCGAAGAGGTAACGCGAGATGAATTCTGCTGGCGTCACAAAAGCCAACCCGACAGTCTAGTTCTAGTTTCAATAAAGGCGTCGGCGATCTCTGGGCCCGAATAACGGGCCCAGACGTGGCCCGCGAGCACAAACGCACTCACAAGTGAGTGATGGACCTCAGGTCTCCGAAAGTTCCCTCAGGGATCCTGGATATGTCGTTGCCGTGCAGGGAGAGGATCCGAAGCGCGTGCAGCCCAGCGAGTGAGTTGGAATGGATGCACTCGAGTTTATTGTAGCTGCAAGATAACAAAAAAAAGAAAAAGAGTGGATAATGCGCCAATAAGTTTTCTGTTTTTCTCCTCATCCCGCCCGGTATTTCCTTTCAAAGCTGTCCACAGCATCCAAGGGATATATAGCCGAGAGGATCCAATCAGAAGAAAAAAATAATGCGACACAAACCTGATGATCAAAGTCTCCAGTCTCGTCAAGTTTCCAAACGTATTGTTGCCGAGAACCGATATCTTGTTGTTGCTCAGATCTCTGAAAAATATCCGGATATTCTCGTTAATATCGATTGGAACACAACGTGATCGCATAAAAAATTCAACCATTATTTCAACAGAATGGTACGCAAAAATTTACAGAGAACTTCCACTGGAAAATTCGGAATTCCATGCCAAATATTGAGGAAAATATTCGCATTTGTGCATCAAAATCTGTTGAGCGAATTTACAGAAGATATTTCGAAGCAAGAATAATGTTCAAAAGGGGCTTTTTACAGATTACTGTATACATGAAGCCAGTTTATTTATTCTATCATAGTCCTGTCAGAAGGCAGCCAACATGCGTTGAAGGAACCTGTGCTGATGACCCCATGCAAAAATTAAAATTGCAACCGCAACTGCGAGTGATGCAAATACAGTCGCAGTCTTTCATTCCCTAACTACTTAGTATTTCATAAACTCTATGAATAAGAAGGCATTTGCATAAAACGCATATATTATCACAAAAACTTCATCTAAATTTGCGGAGAAAAATTTGGAATCTTTTCGAATTAAAAAAAATCTCATTGCTCATTAAAATCTCATTAAAAAAAATCTCAAGATCAGCGAATGCTCGGATTGAATTTTTTGGATAAATTATACAGACTTTCTTATTCGTGGATTCTTTGTACAACGTTTTGTCAACATGCTGGGATCAAAATTTGGTTCATTTCATAAAATAAAGGCAACAATTGAACTTATAATTTTTTTCGGCAGAGTCGTCCTCTCCCATAAAAGGTTTTTCATGGCAAGCGGCTATATGAAGCGGCCATATGAAAGTCGCTCACATTATGAATATTCTTGAAAATTTTGAATGAATTCTATATAAACTCTGTCTAGTATTGAATGCATCATTTTTGTGTCAGACCATCAGAGGTAATCATGCTCACAATCTGACGAGTGAAGAAAGGTGACTGAGTCGCTCCGGCTGCACAACCTTGATATCATTCACATCCAGGTACCTGCAAAGGATCAAGCGATGCCCCGTTCAGAATAATTCCTTATTCCTATACCCCGAGGGAATCCTCATGTAGGAGCAAATTCAAAGAGGACATCCGCGATGAAGCCTCTCATCGCTTACAATTCCGTGGTCTCCTGAGGAATATCCTTGGGGATCTCTTGTAACTTGCTCCTACTGCATCTCACGACGGTTCCTTCGCACTGGCAACCCCTAGGGCAGTGGCCCGCACCCACGCAACCCACGTCGTCGTCCGCTGAAAACGCCATGAAAGAAACCCGTGTTCATTCTCGAAACAAGCCACGACCCAGTCAGGAACCCCTCAACCCCGCCGTGATCAAGTATATGCTTTCCAAGTGGACCAGAGGGCGATAGGAAGGCTGCCAAGAAACCCAGACCCCGAGCTTTCTTATTCTTCCCTCAGTGGGTTAGTAGAGCAGCATAAGACAAATCCCTGCGGGGGATAATTATTTTATTTTTTTCAATGCGGAAAATTTGAATTTCAGTGCATATTATGGCAAGATAAATATTTGTCATGAGAAGTCGACTAAAAGGACAGTTTATTTCTCGTCTTTCCTTTGTCGCTACCTTCGGAAAATTCATGAAAATAACAAAATGACTATACCTCCATCCTAAAGCGTTTTACTGCACGAACTCGTATTTAAATCTCAACAAATGAAGAACAAATAATATTTGCATAATCAAGAAATATGCATGCTGTAAAACGAATTATGCTTTTTTCAAAAAAATTCAGCTTTTCGAAAGGTGGCAGTTTGAAAATTTGTCTTAAGCCAACTCGGAAAAATCGTTTGCAGAAATCCGATTCATTCGAATGATCGACAGCAGCAACAGATAAAAACTTTTAATTGAATACATTTTTTCCAAATGAATGTAACACGCATTTTATCTCAATTTCAGCTTTCTAGAATTTATGATTTGAAAAAAAAATTGCTGCATGAAAATCGGTCATCATTTAGGCGAGCATACTTCTTACTTCTCACGCCAATAACACAAATGCCTGAATGGTTCATCACTATAAATGAGCCAAATTTTTAAACCCTTTGAATTAATTTCTTCTTTATATAAGGGATCATATTCCGGAAATACTTCCGAGTAGCTTTGAATACCATAAAAACGCAGAAAAGAATCGTACCCTTCCTGGTGACTAATACATAATGGTCTCATGCATATGCGTGAAAGAAGCTTCCGAGTACCGCAGAATGTAAAAACGCTCATAAACACGGATGTTTGATCAATTTCTCTCGTTAAAGCGTCAATAAATTCGTTTGAAAATGCGGTCCTCAAAGTAGAGAAGGGTGACTATATAATGCATATATTTCTCAATTTTTTAGTGCGTAAATAACCCGATTAACGATTAAACTAGGCACGATAAATTCAAGGCTACGGCATTAGCAAGTTTGCCACATATCCCATCAACAATTTTGCGAATGCTGAACACGTTTCCCTTGTGGCATGCAGAAATAGTTTCCCACAGACTGGCTTTTTTTTTCTAGCTGTTAAGAAATCTGCACTTGAACAACAAAAAGAAACCACGTGGCAACGTGATTTGAAATCTGATGGCGAAAATCGCAAAAGGCAAAGCACATCACGATGCTTCAACAAATGCTGGATTACGTATTCAAACAGGGTTCCAGCAACCCCCCATGTAAACGCGGAAAGGTATATCCGAAACCTGGCGATAAAATTTTAAGAAAAAGGCCCGCGTCACGTGAGTGCAAGCCCTCAAGCAGCCTTCAGAGTCCTCCAAAGAACCCTGAGTAGCACCCATGCAGAAGGGCCAAGGGTTTCGGGGAATATACTACGGGTCAGCCCTGCGGGTCCCTATGCTATACACATCAAGGTTTGCTCTTACATGTGCTTTTACCTAAACCCGCAAGATGTGTTTTCCATTCGGGCTTGTATCATATACGTGCCAGACAAGTATGAGTTTTTCCCCGCGAGGCAAATGGGCACGTGGCACAGTATCTTTTCCTGCATATACAACGTTAAGCCAGAAAGCCACGAGGAGTTCTCGGAATAATTGATCGATTTAGTCGGAGAATGCTTTTGTCTTTTGGATATGTAACCTATTTTGTGAGTAAATCGATTGATCTTGTACCATTACCGATTGGAGATTTTCCTCGAAAATCACGTCGCAAAAACGCAGCGTTTCTAAAAACCTATGACAAGAGTATTGTGCGAAATTCTGGAGAAAAAGAGGCTCGGTTCATAGGCTTCTTTTCAGTGTATAGCCTTCCTTGTTGAGTAAACAATACTTCTGGGTGCATTAGAATGAATATAATTTTTTCAAGAATACTTCTTCATCATCGATGAACGATTAAATTTTCGCACATTGAGTTGAAATGAAATAAAGACAGAGTTAAAATTTCGCACGGTCACTTCAATTAAATAACGATTCCTTCCCACGCTTGCATATCGTACGTTTCAGGATTTTCAGAAAATCTAAATACTGTAATATCGACGGAACCATTTTTTAAATTTTAAAATAAATTAGTTTTCAAATGGCCCTAAAATACTGCGCGTGAATTTTACGATGTACAGTTCTATATTATATGACAGCATTCGCCTCCTGTGAACATTCGCAATCACTTGCTCGATTTTTTCCATGGTCAGTTCATCGTTGGATTTCTATCTCTGCTTTCAAAGTTTAAAATAAGTTAATTTTCAAATTATTATTAGGAGGGAACATATAAGTCTTCACCACCCTCTTCGAATATAAAAATCCATACCGCCGTTTTTAAATTGCGGAGAAAGAGTTTAATTTCAGTAGTTTAGATCTAACTTCTTTGAAAATATCAACATCAGCTTTTTATGTTTAACCACTGCGTGATTCATACGCCCAAATACTGAACCTGCGACTCGTATTTTGAGTTATTTAAAACTGTCCTGAGCTTGTCGATAGAAAGAAGATCTTACTTGGAATCTTCTGTCAACATATATAAGGATTCCTTATTTTTTAGCCTTATTGGTCGAAATTGATATTGTACAAGAAAATGGGATCCTGGCAAGTACTTGAGCCACAAGTCAGTCGATAGCGTGAACTGACATACTCACTCTAAAGCTTGATTAGAAAATATTTGCAATGATTATGTTTGAAATCTGAAAAAAAATTCGACGGAAAAAGGTTATAATTCAGGTATTTTTCGACTGTCACGCTGAGAATGCGAAAAAAAAAATTTCTAGAAAATTTGATAATTCATGTCTACCATTGACAATATAATCCGAAAAAATATTTTAATTTCGTCTCATGGTTGATCTGAAGATTTCGACCGAAACGTGAGTACCTCTACCTAGAAATAATTATTAAAGTACTAAAAAAAGTATGTATACATACTTGAGCAACTTAAAATCATTGAATGTTGTTTGGAGAAATTTTCGCACAAGGTTCATCATCGAAGTATTTTCCTCTGAGGGATTTTCTCTTGGAATATTCTTTTCTCGTCTCTGATGATGAGCTGTCGAATATCATACAAGGAATGGTATTCATTTTTTGGATCCGAGGCTGGGGTCTTGCATTTCAAATGTAGCTCGTAATTCACTTATTCTACTGAGAAGAAGATGTATTATTGTGTTTGTTCCTATAGTTTCGTTGGAATAGGTCGTGTTTGATTCACGACTCAATTCCGATAATCGCTTCCTTCTCAGGTGCTCCCCGAGCGGAAGGCGCGTGCAATTTTAAGTATTTTACTGCTCGTTTAGGTCGGGATTTAATCCCCTAAAAGCCTCGAATTGCAGTATTACCCATATGTACGATGTAGCGGGAATATCATTCCTGTGAATGAAAAAATAAGCCGTGAGCATCATAGACATACATTAAATTTTTAGATCTGCACGCATATGAATTGAAGTACAGTAATTTGAGACGAAATATAATTTTATCCAATTATTTAAGATATGAAAGGAAATGGCATTCATGCCTTTCCAATTCCCTCGAAGTTTTCTCAGAAATGGCGCATTGATTTTTTCCTGGATCATTCCAATTTATGATTATTTTGCGGTGATTCCTTCGCTATTTTATCGCGTCCAGATGATTCATGAATGGTATAACGCATTATGAGCGGTCAAAATTATTGCACTGAAGATTTCTTCTGGCAACGTTTAATGCGTTTGAAGTTGTTTGAATGATGATAAATACGTATATCAAGCATTTAAATAAATATTTCTGGGTTACTGAAGTTTCCGTCGAAATTCTCAGAGCAACCAGGTGTCAAACCGAATAGGTCATTTTTACGGATTAAATTGTCAATGGTAGACGTTAATTATTAATCTTTCTTGAAAATTTAATTTTTCCGCATTCTCAACGAAAGAGGGTTTTTTGATTATATTGTCAATGGCAGGCTTGAATTCAAAACTTTTACAGAAAAAATTGATGCTCTTCACATTTAGAGTCACAGCAAAAATTACCGAGACTAGAACCTTCCTCCATCGATTTCTTTCTTCATATTACGAAGATGACCTTTTTTTTAAATAATGAAGTGATATAATTCTGAAAGTGAATTAAAACCAAACATTTAATTTTCAACATGTAAATCAGTATGCATATCATAAGTGCCTTTTATGCTGAGTGTACTGTATTTTCTTCCGCAAATTTTTAGCAGTTCCGCGGTTCGCACAGTTCGAATTTTTCCAGCAGTTCGCTTTCTTGGCGATAGATTTTGCACTCCTTGCTTCCGGTGCCTCAAGAAAACTTTTGAATACAAGAACTGTTTTCAATCGACTTTCGTAAATATTGCTCCCAAAACACGCATCATGGCAACTATAAGTATAAATTATTTCGAAAAATAAAATAATTTCAACTCAGGAAGCTTATGCAGCGTTTGATCTTTATTTACGCCAAGTGGGCGTGTTTTTTGCGATGTGTACATTTGAGATTGGGTTCTCTTTCCCCACGTGGGTGTTTTTTTTTTTGTATGTGGTCCATACACTTTTCTCCCGGTAGCCTTAAATTATTCCGGATGAATAAACGCGCACGTCGGGGCATTGCAGAACTCTGCTGAATTACGACGCTTGTCAGCGAGAAGTGATGTGCCTTAATTGGCCGTCGGGTACAAGATCGTCATGCTCTGCAAGGACACCAGTCAATAACGCTTTCCATCTAAAGCAGAACCCGCTGTTGGGTGCTCAAATTGAACAAGCAATTCCTTTCGCTGATGAATAAAAAGAGGCATCCGTTTATATGCGGATGAAGCGCTCTCATCGGTGTGACGGGTGCGATCGGGGATTATATTGCGTCGTTTCACTTTTAACAATCCCCATTTCTCAAGACTTCACAGGTCAGAAAAAATTAAATCAATCATCACAGTGTACCTTTGCATTGGAACTTGGAGCATGAGAAAAAATCCCAGAAGAAATGGTAAGCTGGTGGATGGAGGAGAAATGTTCGTGCACACGCGTACTCGCGAGAGTTGTTTTTTAAGTTTTGCAAATATGTTGCTTAGATTTTTTGGAGGCTAAATGGGGATGGTTTCCGTAATTTTAAAATTATATTTTATCTTTATCCTGACCACAGTTTAAAAAATCAATCTTCTCCCGGCTGTGAGGAATCCAAGTTCGTCATCAGCCACACTCGCACATTTTACGAATTTGAAGGTAGTCAGTTCATGTGTTACCAAATACTTCAAATCATTTAAATATCTTCACGATCAGAACCTCCGTCATATTCCAATAATTTTCTAATGATAAACTCGTCACGACGTTCGCAATTTGTGTCTTTCTGTTAATGCTGAAACAATTTAGGACTAAGCTGTCGATCGGGAAGCAAGAAGCAAAATTTTTAAAAAACATTTTCAGCAAACGAACAGTCTCGTCGATAATCACACAATGGCTTGATTCTGAAAAACTTGGGCACCTCAAAAAAGATCAATTTCAAATTTTGAACCATCTTTTTGTGGGGATTCTTCTCATAAGAATAATTCATATCGACTTCGTTAGTTATCGAAGATTAAATGAATTTTCAGCTCGTGAAAACAAAACGATGATATCCTTAAAATTTAACTCGGAAACTTCACGATGCTTTGAAAAATTTCATTGAATCCCAAGACGAAAATACTGGTTTACAACGTTCGGACATTTTTTCCCCGCGAACAGTTCAGCAAGACAAAAACATTTGTACCTTCATCTTATATATATATGCGTCTCGCAAACAATCAACATTATTTAGAGGAAAATGAATAATGCCCTCATGAGTAGGAAGCCTGTGGTTTTTATCCTCAGGGGTGCCTGTCATCATTTCTTTTATCCGCAAAAAAAAAAGAAGGAAGTCCCATGATAAAAAAGGGGGAAGTTACACGCGTTTATCTCGACGAGTGATCATAAAGAGTCGCCAAGGACGGCACAAGTATTTACTGTACTGTACAGAATACATGCTGCTCATGAATGAGCAAAGCGATGAGGTTTATCATAGAAGGAGGTGACCACGATAGAAATCATCTCATGATCGGACGACCATAAACGGAGAATTTCTTGAAAAAAAAAGCACAGACACATGTATAAGAAGGGGAAATAAGGTACTGATGTCATTCTCGATGACGAGTGACACGGATGATTATATGACCTGCTGGGCAAGAACACTCACAAGTGCATTTGAAGTCCGATGAGTGCATCTGGATCAGAGGCTTAGTGCGTAGACGATAAGGCTCATGACACGTGGGTCGATCCTCGGTCACGTCTCGTTTTCTCAGCCACTCGGCCAACCAGGCCAAGTGGCAGTTGCAACGGAAGGGATTCTTCGAAATCCGCCTGAAATAAAACAAATACAATAAAAAAATAACGTTAGATTGCAGACACATTTTTGTTTCCTGTTGTGCTCATTTATATGAGCAGGGCAGTGTTTTAAACCGTAGCTCGTTTGATTTATTTTAGCATTTCGGCCGACACTCACGTCAATGGTCACAAGTCACCTTTGATTGCTGTAACTTCCTGGATGAGTTGGTTCTATTTGATCATTTATTCATCATTCGGATACGCGTAATTTCATTCCCAACTTCCCACGATGATCGGACATGAAAAACATTCTTGAAAGATATTCATCAAAGACACGAATGCTGAACGTTTTTCGAAGATAGCTTTTAGCTTGCGACATTACAGGATTAATAATGTAGCTGAACACGTGCGACTCATGGGATCAACAGAATTTCAAATTCACTGCCGGTTTAATCCCGAGTATAGTGAGCAAAGAAATTCGCATTGCAATTTTTCTATCTGGTTTAAAAAAAATTCCCCACACCATAACTGTCCACCGATGTATCAGATCTGACAACCAAGTTTTATTGAGAAATTTTATTTATTCGGCAAATATTTGGGCTATGATGAATTTGAAGGTATTGAAAGTGAAGCATTTTCATAAAGAATCAACGGAAGCGTCTTTTAAGCATATTTGATGATCTTTCATACGGTTTTTGGAGCTTTCCTGCTAAGAAACTTCAGTACAACAAAAAATGTATAGGAAGTTACTGCTACATCTTTTGAACCATCCATCGTACTTAATCGAAGAGAGCTGCAAGAAAGATGCGGGAATTTCAGAATAATAATTAAATCGTTGCATCGCGGAATAATTTTAAAAAATAGTTTCATTATTTCCGTGAATTCTTAATACATTCCACCGAAGCCCAGTTCAATTCAACATATACTCGCTTTCACAATCCATCAAATTTTTCCTACAGCGTATTTGCATATTTTCTTCTTTTAAAAATTGCCTTGCGAAATGAAAGTTTTTAGCTGGAATGAAGCAAGTACTCACAAAGATCTAAGAGCATCCAAGCCGTCGAAAGCACCGGGAATGACGCAAGTGATTTCATTCCCGTCGAGATGCAGAGTGCTTAGATTGCTCAGGCCCTTGAAAGTTCCTTTCGGTAGCTTCTGGAACTTGTTTCCCGTCAAAACTCTTCGCGAGCAAGCAAAAGCAAATGAAAAAAAATCGTAAAATTAGATTTCCTTTTTCTTTCCAACACATCCAAATACATCCTACGTTATTTTGTTTGAACATAATTTGCTATCATAAAAGATATTTCATTACTGAAAAATGATTTCTTTCTCAGGATGAGAGAAAGATGCCGATATCCTAATTTTTCGAGCGGCAGAAAAAGCTCATGATTTTCGACAAAGAATATACGAAACAAGGTGAAAAATACAAGTTGTTTTTAGCTCACAATTTATAGGAGTTAAGGAGAAATGAAAGACATTGAGAGATGGTAAAAGACGGAAATTCAGTTTTTCTAAAGCCAGCCTCGAAAGCTAGCATGACATGAGATGGAAAAGTGTGGGAAAATAAATATAGCGCTATCATTCGCGCTTCCAATTTGCAACTTAATTTAAATACAATTTTTCTTTATGATTCATTTTAATATTTTGCGCACGTACAAAATATTTCAAAAGACTTGAAAAATTATATCCTCGGGAGCGAGAAAATGACGTAATCATAATTTTTCAAGCGCAGGAAAAAAGTTGACGATTTCCGTCGAAGAATAAATTGCATAAGGTTAAGAATGCATCAAGCCGTTTTTAGCTCAGCTTTGCATATAACAACGACATAGGGATGAAAAAGATTCAAAAGTATAAAAAAGAGAGGGAAATTTTTGTTTTCAAAACTAGCCCTGCTGAAGATTATACATGTATAAAAATTCGGAAAATAAGGCGGACTATTTGAACTTAAATTTCAAATTAATTCTAAATAAAATCCGATCGTTATAGTGTAAAGACAATTTACAACTCACGCATTATTTCTCAAAACATTTGGCGCACGAGTGCATAATATGTTTCTTAATAGGTGAAAAATCAATTCTTTATCCGGGAGAAAGAAAATGACGTAATCCTCATACTTTTTTAAACGCCGGGAAAACCTGACGTTTTCTGTCAAAGAATAAATTTCACAAGATAGCTCAGTGTCTAATATAACAACAAGGAAGAGATAAAAGATATTCAGAAGTAAAGAAAGAGAGGATACGAAATTTTTCTAAAACCAAACTCAAAGGTTCAGCATGTTTTGAGATTGAAAAAAAAATTGCATAATTCGAGCTCTAAATTTCAAATTAATGCTAAATAAAATGTTTTCTTCGTGATGTGGAATGACGAGGGGGGGGGGGGTGGAACAAAACTCACAATTTGACCAGCTTCGTGGCAGGGGCCAAAACACCTTCCGCAATGGCTCCCAACGAGTTCTTGGACAAGTCCAGGACCTGCAGATGCGGCAGGTTCTGAAAGCTGGCAGCCGGAAGTTCCGTTATCTTGTTTTCGCTCAGATCCCTTGATGAAGAGGAGGAAAGTTAACGCTTCCGGGCATCGTCGATCATTAGGCGTCGTATAAGGGAAAGTTTTACTCACAGCTGCGTCGCGTAGGAAGGCACGTCATTTGGAACGCTGGTCAGAGCCTTGCCGGAGCAATTCACCGTCGTGCCTTCGCACCGACACACCTTGGGGCAGAATTGCTCCTGGAAACATTGTCCGGCTACCTGCGCATGTTTCCCTTCGCTCCCTGATGAAGCGCAAATAAGTTCCATACATCACCGTAAATATAGGCAGAACCAATCTTCCGAATTTCAATTTAAAGTACGCGAAGCACCTTGTGCTCTAATTTGTGTTCAGTAATTGCCTCGCGCTGTAATTTTTGGTGCACTGAAATATTAATATTCTGTTCAATTAGGGGGGGAGGGAAGTATTCATATCAATAGAGCAATCGTACATTATTCCGTGATTTGTTTCCTCTATCTTTGTATACCCATTTTCATCACATTTCTCTTTTCTCCATCCTGATACGATGGAATGCATTTGAATGAATGTGGATGGGGAGGGGAATAAGGGGTTTCAATGATGGGGTGTGGGAATATTGTACCTTATGAACGCTGAAAAGCGGAAAGTACAGCTATTCATCATCATCAAATAACAATTAATTTATAGTGATGCGCGAAAATCCGGTAAACATCAGTTATCCATGCGATATTAACTTTAGAACCGCAGGAAAAATATTCCCATGAGTTTAAAACTCATAATCCTAAAATTTGAATCGAGCGAAGGTTGGAGGAAGTGCGATAAGCGGGGGAAAATCCAGTCGAACATCTTCAATTCGAACCTCAAGGGACCAAAAAATTTTGAGTTCGGGAAACATATTTTCTTTCTCGAAATAATTACGTGTATAAAATTCAGGAAATTAAAATGCCTGATTTGTTGGCCTAAAACTGCTGCTAAGTGAGTTGACAAATATTTTCAACTGCAGCATTATTGCCGAACACTCTAAACAGACGTCATAGTTCGGAGAAGGCCAGATATTTTCCCAGTGCTTTGTTATGCAGGGCCCAAAAATTTAACAATAGTCAAAATGATGACGCATGATCAACACTCCGTCTTATTTGACATTCCCCATCTTTTCATGAAACAAATTCAAAAATGAAAACTCTTCTGTTTTTAGAATACTTTATCGTGAGATATATATTCCTTGGACAAATTAGTCTCACTTACAAGAAAGGAAAGATTTTCACATACATATTGAAGCAATGAGAGGAATAATAAACGTTTTTTTACCCAAATGAAAACAATTACACCCGAATTTTAAGCAGGGAAAATATAATTTCATCGAACTCAGGAATACAAAAACCCATTAATTTAACTCGAAAAGAACAAGCGTTTCGTCGTTTAAAAAAACACTAAAATATTCAAGAGGTGGCTTCAAGCCGCAAAAATATCTGTACAGTACTTCTATCACGCTCCGGGACCAACTTTAAATCAAAGTTAACTCCTCCGAGAATCAGATCTTATCAAGCGGTTTCTCGTAANTTGTACCTTATGAACGCTGAAAAGCGGAAAGTACAGCTATTCATCATCATCAAATAACAATTAATTTATAGTGATGCGCGAAAATCCGGTAAACATCAGTTATCCATGCGATATTAACTTTAGAACCGCAGGAAAAATATTCCCATGAGTTTAAAACTCATAATCCTAAAATTTGAATCGAGCGAAGGTTGGAGGAAGTGCGATAAGCGGGGGAAAATCCAGTCGAACATCTTCAATTCGAACCTCAAGGGACCAAAAAATTTTGAGTTCGGGAAACATATTTTCTTTCTCGAAATAATTACATGTATAAAATTCAGGAAATTAAAATTCCTGATTTGTTGGCCTAAAACTGCTGCTAAGTGAGTTGACAAATATTTTCAACTGCAGCATTATTGCCGAACACTTTAAACAGACGTCATAGTTCAAAGAAGAGGCCAGATATTTTTCCAGTGCTTTGTTATGCAGGGCCCAAAAATTTAAAGATAGTCAAAATGATGACGCATGATCAACACTCCGTCTTATTTGACATTCCCCATCTTTTCATGAAACAAATTCAAAAATGAAAACTCTTCTGTTTCTAGAATACAGTACTTTATCGTGAGATATATTCCTTGGACAAATTAATCTCACTTACAAGAAAGGAAAGATTTTCACATACATATTGAAGCAATGAGAGGAATAATAAACGTTTTTCTACCCAAATGAAAACAATTACACCCGAATTTTAAGCAGCGAAAATATAATTTCATCGAACTCAGGAATACAAAAACCCATTAATTTAACTCGAAAAGAACAAGCGTTTCGTCGTTTAAAAAAACACATTTTATAAGTTCTCCACCGAAGTTCGGCGTTTTTATAGACATGTCATGAAGATAGTGCGAGGCCCTGGTTGAAATTTAGTTTCAATTGAGGAGGCTCTTAGTCTAGAATAGTTCGCCAAAGAGCATTTTCAATCCCAAGTACCTCTCGACTTCTTTAAAAAAAAATCCTGGCAGCAAAAATCGTTGGAATTAAATGTATCCTTCGCCAATAAAGCTCGTCAGGGAACAGGTCCGCAATTATTATTTTTTTTACATCTTCTTGCACACATTTTCGCGCTCACACTGCAGAAAGAAAATGTGTCACTGACGACTTTTAAAGCTAAATAAATTATTCCAGTTCTGGAAACAAACGTGACGGCAAGGTTACTCTCTCGCATTCCTTCGAGTGCCATCTCGTAATTTAATCTCAAGTGCTCCGTCTATCAATAAAACCTGGCCTGGTAGGTTCTTTTTGAATTGAATTGTATCCCTTACCTATGCAGTAAAACTTGTCAGGGGACAAGCCGGCAATTTTCTTCTTGCTCATCCTCGGAGGCCCTTCGCATCTCACACCCGACGTCTCCAACGTGGGATTCCGCATCAGGTACTCGGCTACGTACTCAAGGTTACAATCGCACATCCAAGGGTTCCTCGCCAGATGCCTGCAAACATCACAGACATGCACTCAGGAAGATCCTCTCGTTTGACAGAAAAAACCAAAAACAAGGCGAATACTAAGTTTCCCGAGTGGTCTCAGAGCCAAAGGTCTTTCCAAAAGCTTTTCAAGAAATTATTTCCGCTTCGTTTTCGTCTTAAACAAGAAAGTTGCGAAAGAGGAAAGAAAGAAAATTCAAGCCAAAGTAATTTTCCGGTATTTTCAAGAAAAAATATATATCTTGTCTTCTCGCTGGTGTTCTTCTTGGAGAAGACTTTCACAGAGCAGGAGGAAAGAAAAAGCGTGCCCTTTCTCTTGAATTTTCTCTGACCCCCTTCTGAGGGAAAAATTGCAGATTCCAAATTAGAAAGTGCATCGAACCNACCAAAAACAAGGCGAATACTAAGTTTCCCGAGTGGTCTCAGAGCCAAAGGTCTTTCCAAAAGCTTTTCAAGAAATTATTTCCGCTTCGTTTTCGTCTTAAACAAGAAAGTTGCGAAAGAGGAAAGAAAGAAAATTCAAGCCAAAGTAATTTTCCGGTATTTTCAAGAAAAAATATATATCTTGTCTTCTCGCTGGTGTTCTTCTTGGAGAAGACTTTCACAGAGCAGGAGGAAAGAAAAAGCGTGCCCTTTCTCTTGAATTTTCTCTGACCCCCTTCTGAGGGAAAAATTGCAGATTCCAAATTAGAAAGTGCATCGAACCAAGTGGTGCTTCTGTTGATTGTATTTTTTATGCTCTAAATTTATATCGTCGGATAAAAAAATACAAGTCGTCAAGGTCTGAATTATTGGCAGCTCTCGCCAGAATTTTCAATATTGAAATAAAAGCAGAGGCGATCTAGAAAAAAACCATAATGATCAAATATGAGCGGAATTTGGACACGAAGGCGAAATTTTTCCGCTCGAATTCAAATTGGGAAGAAAAAAAATTGCATTTAAAAAACCTGGAAAACTTGTCTCCAAATAATGAAAAGCCACTCACTCGTAACCAAAACAACCTTTCTGCGAACCCTTGCAATTTACGAAAGTACATGGCCAGTCCTCACCGGCATTTTTTTTCTTTAAATGCACGTGCAGTCTAAATTAATCGCATGAAAATCATAAAAATAAAATTATGACCAGGAAAATTCAATGAGATTCCATTTAAATTATCTTCAAAGTATCAAGTCAAATTGCTGAGGAGAATAGAGATATCGCAGCCGAAAAAAAAAATTGTATATAAAATTTCTGTGGCACACCCCTGGCAAATCTGACGACGCGTCAAGGTTCACTTCGAGACAAAGCCACTGGAAACGCTCCAGACATTCAGGAGATCTCATCTGAATTTTGCAACAATAGCAACAGTAAGAAAAAAATGAAACTTTCTAGAAGAACCCTTTGTACATTCGGTGATAACGACGCAATTCTCCAGAGCCCGCGATAGCTCCGCTTCGGGAGTGCGGCGTCATCAATCAAACGGGTCAAGGAAGCAGACTGTTCTCGTCTGCTTTTTTGTTGTTGTAGTATCACTCCGATTAGCTGCCTCAGTTCTCCATCGGATCCAGAACAAAAAAGGTCAGAGAACTTTATTTTTATTCTCTGCAGAATCTCGTCAGAATAATACACACAGCTCTCAAGCATTCCAACTTTTCTTGCAGAAAAAGAAACCTTCGCAGCTGACCGCAATTGCACAAGACCGGCGTTCACACGAAGGAAAAGGAAATTTTATTGAAAATTTAATTAAATGCTCAGAATAAATTCTTGAGCTCTAATACTTTACCAATACTGTGTAAGAAAATTGGAGTTGAAACGAATATGCTGCATGCATAGCCAAGCAGGTTTCAACCTGGAGAATGGCTCTTTCAATGATTATATAGATTCTCTCTAAAAAAAAATCCAGTCTTCAAGCCATCACGCTGATTGAAGTGTCAAATTGAAAATATGACAAGCACGCACATCGAAGATATGCCTCAGGGGCTTTGTTGAAACTTGTTCTCTTGCCAAGATTGAATGTGTTTCTATGATGACTGTCCAAACTCCTCGCACCTCAAGAAATTTCGAAAACATGCAAAGAAAGGAAAAATCGTTCAGCTCAGATCGAATTTTAGAAATATAAATTAAAGCACGCTCGAGCTCGAAAATAGCATCATATACGTTATAAATTAGATTCCAGGGGCATTAAAAAGGGAGCATATCTTCATAACAAAGGCTTTTTATCCTCCATATGCTCAAAATCCGCGTCGTCTTCCGGACTTTTCCGTAAGAAGAAGGAACAGAGATTCCTTCAGACAACAGAATTCCACCTTGGGTTATTTTTAAAACGGAGGAAGGATGCACGCATCAGAATAAATAAAAAAAGGATTTTCGCGAGATTTTGCGATTAAAGACTTAAAACAGATTGAGTGAAGATAGAGCAAGACGTCGCATACGAACAAACAGCGCCAGAGTCCTTTGCCATACTGAAGCAGTAGCCGCACAGAAATACTAACGGGTCAAGACATTGATCTGTTGATTTACCTGCTATTAAACCAACAAAAAATCGAATTTCGGAGATTTCCTGGACATATGATTCTAAAATGTAAGCATTTGGAACGAGAGACATTGAAAACTGAGAGAAAAATGCAGACCTCATCCTATTAGCAAAAAGCGTTTGAAATTCGGAGAAGAAATGGGTACATTTTCTAATGGAACACAGAAGTACTGATTCCTGAGGGTGTCACTACTGCATTTCTCTCCTCTTCATAATTTCAACAGCTGATCAATTAAATGAATGATTTTATCAATTCACGAGTCTTCCATTGAAAAAAAAGGTCAAAGATTTTTCCCTTTGTCTCTCGCGCGTCAAACTATTGCGATCCTTTAAATACATTGCTTCGCCTTTCTTTGAGAACAATTTTCGCAATTTTAAGGGTTATAACTCCCTAAAATATGCATATTTTGGGATATGGTCAATTTCAGACGGGACAATTTGAGACAAGGACACTTTGAAACAAGGTCAATTTTAAAACACGGTCATTTAGGGACAGGGAGGATTTGAGACAGGGCCAATCATAATTAGCAAAAGTAAGACTTCCACATTCATCTTATTCACCTTCGTTTTCAATAATCTTTCTTTTGTGTTTCATTTTCTAGTATTTTCAAAACCTAAATAACTCATCATAATTGTGAAGTTTCAAGGTGGACTGGTCCTGAAGCAACTCTGCTGTTGCACAGAAATTTTTTTCCTCTCCACAATTCTTCGTGAATTTCAGGGAATTCTCTATTAAAGTATTAGTCTTAAGTTGGAAATAAAATTAGCCCAACTTTTGACAGAACAGTAAAATTTTTGTTCCTTTTCCCACCTTCAATATAACATACGATAGAAAACCACAGGAAATTCATTTTGCAAATGATTCTGTCTCGAATACTGTCTCAAAATGTCCCTGTCTCAAATAGTGCCTGTCTCGGATTGCCCTAGATCCGTATTTTTCGTGGCTTTATTTAGCAGCACTTGATATTGAACCATCCTGTATTATTTTTTCAAGAAAAGATTCACAGAGCAGTGAGAAACGGACTTGATCTTTGTCACTATATACGCAGTGCAGACCACCCAAAAAAAAGGAAGAGCGGAGTTTGAGTTCGTATAGACGATGAAATCTTCTGCCGTAGGCAGTCCAGAGCAGACACGGGAAAACTAAATCTGAGGAATTTGTCACTGCCACTGACCGTCGGTTGTGCTCAAGACATCAGTTTTCATCTGTTTCTGGACCAGCAATAAATTTTCCCACGGGTATGCCAGCAAGTTCTTTCGAAAGTCACACAATTCAACAGTGCTAGAAAAAAGTCTGCTGGAACCGATGAGTGCGTATTTTGCGTAATCCCGAGAAATGAAGCCTCGGCTGCAAATTTTGAAATCCATCTGCTTTGGCAATATATACGTATAACCCGCTTCTTTTGCGGGCGTTAGAAGGCTCGATATCTCCCGCTAATTCGTGGTTTTATGATGGTTCTAGTAATGGAAAAATATTCAGAAAATTCTTCAAGCTCTAACATTGTGGGTATGATGAAAAACCAACTGCTTCCTCGGCTCAATCTTCATTTACTGTGTTCCTACATAACCAACGGTTTCAAAGTTTTGCAATCCCCGTCATCATGCCATTTCACAGAAGGGAGTTTTTCTGATGAAGAAATAAATATTCGAGGATTCCCTGGGCTTCTCAAATTTCAAATAATGCTCAAGAAGAAAGAAAAGTCGAGAAAACAAGAGTTCAGTTTTCCAAGACAATTAATTCATGTGGCAATTTATCTTCGCCCGTCAAACTTAAACGCACCGAAAATGTCTCGGTGGTCTGAGTTCTTCGAAAACATTTGAAAATCTTCTGAAAACTGCGAAAAATCGAGTTTTTCAGTCTTGACATTCCCCGTGTCGGAGATTCTGCTCTGACATGGCTGAGAACAAAAAGTACAGGTGCGATCAAATCCAATCCTTCGAAACTGGAAAATTTCCAAAATTTAAATCGCAATTGATTATGCATTTGAAAAACTTGGCTTCAAAACTCAACAGCCAGCATTATTATTATTATTTTTTATTTACGGATTGATGAAAATTGCATGAATCAAGCAATTTTCATGCAAAATCAAGTTAGTGACAATGTTCATTTCCGGAATCCAAAAAACCTTTTTCAAGGAACTAGAGAAACTTATGAGCCAACCCTTTCATATTCAAACATGCGTGCTTCAACTCGTACGTATTTTCGTCTTCTTCTGCGCTTTACCGCTTCAGTCTACTGGTAGTCTTTTGCAAGAAGTTGCAGTAAGTTCTAGAAGGTAGAGTATGTTTGGTTGGAGCTGTTTGGCAAAGCCTTTAACAATTCTCTCTTTTTTTTAGAAACTAGACCTGGCACCGAGACCAAAAGAACAAACAATATATCGTCATAGACCGATAAAAAATCCCAACAGAAATTACCCCGGATTTCAAACGGTGCACAAATGCGTACTCACAGCGTCTTGATGTTTCGCAGGGGATCAAAGGTTCCGGGAGCCAAGGATTTCAAGTCGTTGTCATACAGCGACCTGCGAAAGCAGAAAACCGTAACGAAAAGCTCATCCAACCGACGAAAGTCAGCTTCAGTCGTTGTCTTCTTCACAGGACGGGGGAAAATGGTTTCCAAGGTCGATCGAACAAAAACCAAATAATGCCGTAGCTCTTCGCAAAATTATTATGTTTCTTCCCTGGAAAGTGTTCTTCTTTTACGCTTCAAAATACCGGCAAAAATGCTCGCTTTCGGTCGCACGGAAAGAATCGTGAATAATTCAAGAAGAATGATGGAAGAAAACAGGTTCACGTGACGGGTTTTTTCTCCCCAGACTCCGAGATAAAACCTTTACAGACGAATGGGTTTTTGTGATACTGTTCTAGAATAATTTTTGCAAGAGCACATTTTGAATACAGTGTTCCCAACGCAAAGGAAGAGTAACACAGTCGGGGCGAATGCAAAAAATTCTCAAAATACGCGGGGATGCACGAAAATTTGAAAAAAGCACGTAAATTGGCCTATTTACTTTGCTAATAATGCGCTCTACCTTCTATCTTCCTTTTCAAAGAAAAAGTTTGGCAATTGGAAAATACTGTACTAAAATTAGATGCCGGGATGAGTTTTCAGGAACTTCAAACAATGTTTCACGAAAAAAAATTGACGTTTTAGTACACGGTCTTTTATTTTTATCGCTGTAAACTTGGCTACGCACTGGAACGTTATTCACTATAATTGAACTGATGCGTCAATTCGGTAGGATTCTGGCCTTAATAAATATAGCATAAGCTGTAACAATCAGACTCACGTCGAGAAATTTCTATTAGCAAGTATTTCTTCGCAGATTTCCTTCAAAATGTCAAACCTCTCCAAAAGATCACAAGTTCTTATCGGTACAGAGGAAACAATTTCTTTTACATGCTCCTTCGCCCAAAAATTTCAACAACCACAGCGAGGTGATTTTCTCGGAGTATTTCCGAACGATGTGAAGGACATTCTGCTGCTCAACTGAGAGTCGTTAGGGCTCAAGACAGAGGTCGGTTTTGTGCGCTAGAAACTCCTCGTTGCAAAAAATTTTCTAATTCAACAAGGGTTTCGGGGATTTTTTCCTGCCCGACAAGCATTGGAGCTTGAAACGAACAAGAGAATCCCCGCATTCATCCATCCATCAAAGTATCGCACATAAAATCTCTCGGAAGTGAAATTCCCGTGCGCTGAAAATCTAAAAAATATATATACAGTACTGTAAAACAAAAAACCGCGAACATTCTGGCCTCGCACTGCCGTGAAGGCATATGTTGTCCGACTACTTAGCCTGAAAGCACGGGGTGGAAATTTCTGGGACAAAGGAGCGAATTCAGTGTCAAGGGGAAAACGGAAGAGGGAATAACAAGGAGATTGCACTCACAGCAGAGCCAAGCTGTTGCCAAGGTCCCTGAAGGTGTTCCTCGGGATGCATGAGATGCTGTTTGCGTTCAGCAGCCTGAAAGTAACGAGAAAAAGCGAGCATGTAAATGTTGCTTCCATCTTCACATTGTTTCATTTTACTCAAAAATATATAAATTTTTAAAATCTTATATCCAAGATTCCAACACAGCAAAGCAGTGATCGGGGTGTCGAGGAGAAAATGCAATGAGAACAACCCACTGACATTTTTTCCTCCTGTCAAAACTTTTATTTCGATATAAAAAAAACAGTCCAAGCACAACCTTCATTGTGAGGAATCACTAGTCATCTTTTTTATTCCTTTGTTATCTTTACATATTTTTATAACTGCGTTGGGATTTGGATTTGTGCACAAATTTGTTTCACTCTGTTGAGATTTCAGTGTTTTTTGTGAATTGTGTCATTTCTTACTGCACAATAAATTGTTCCGAAAAAATTTAGAAACATACATTCAATGTTTCCTCTTTAATATATGTTACTTGGTCTCAAACTGGCTGATGGTATAAGTTTCGTTTGTTCCGCGGCGCCTTCATTGGCCATTTTTTTTCTTTTTTTTTTATTAACGCCCAACATATGGATTGGTCATTTGCAAAAGACAGTTGAATATTTTATTCTCCGCGGAATATTGTAATTTCCAAACCATCAAGTTTTCAAATATTCAAGAGAAGCTTATTTTAGCCCCAACGAAGGACACGCGAAACTGGGACACGGGAAGCTTCATTCTGCCACCATTAGCACCTGTCAATTATCTTTCGCTTCGCGATCCTACGAAACAAGTACTACGGCAACTTCTTCTCTGTTGGTGTTTTTTTTTCTTCAACTGCAATTACTGATAATATCAATGACACTAACTATGCGATAAAAATAGAAAGACAAATTAGATATCATTAATCTAAAAGTACGCGTTTAAAAATGCTACCTCAAACGGTTCAGTACAAAAACACCTAATTAAAAAAAATCGTTGAAAAAATGTCCGTTCCTACTAAAGGACTATTTATTTCATTCAAATGTATTTGGGGGGAAAATCCTCTGAATAATTTCATAATTTCAGCTATGAAAGCATGTAGATCGAATTTTCGACGACTCTGCAATTCAAAAAGCAAAAATTATTGACAAAAATAAAAACAAAAGCTGGGGATGATGACCGCAGCTTTCCTCGCGGATGAAATTGATTCCGACATTCGCAGGCTGAACTTCGATGAGGCGACACATGTGTGGGGCACAGAGGGCTCGTCATGAAAACAACATCTTATGGAATCGAATTTTTATAGTTGGACTTATTTTCGTACAAACCTTACGCCGTCGCCCTTGAAGGTTCCTTAAAGGGCGTAACGCGTTAGTTGTTTGAGTGACAAAACGTCAGTTTAATAAACAGCATTATGTTCTCTGCGTTCGAAGTGCACGGTTGCGTTCGAAGATTTAGTTCGTGATTTTTTCCTTATCATATTTGAAATCCCAATATTCGTATCTCACCAAGTTTACTGATAACTCTTTTTCTTGTTCTTAAGTTGTGAAATAAAAATTGCTTTTTTCTTTCGAAGATTCCACCGCGAATCTTACTTTCCCCGGCGGATTGTGCTTTCTTATCATTTCAAATTCTTTGTGGGCCTTTTTTTGTCCTACAACATGAAAAGAACGCAATAGGCGTACAAATTTATGAATATGCATAAATTCCGGACAAATTTATCCTGACTCAAGCTCCCATCATGAAATGAAATCATCAAGGAAAAAAAAAACATTTGTCTTTCGCCTTAGAGCTGCCTCTTTGCTCTGCGTGAGCTCTGCGCGCTACTAGTTCACTCTATAGCGGTTGGTCGCGTCTGTGCAACTAGCGGCTGTAATTTTCGTTCTGGTTGTTTGGGCGTGTTCTTGGGCGACTGGAACAAAAGCCCGATGCTGGCTGACGACCCAAGAAACAAGGCATTCCCCCCCGTCTCAAGTTCCGCAGCATATAATAAAAATGGCAACTAACCCCGTCGGCCAGCACACAAAGCAACCGACTGCCATGCATCACAAGCGGCATAGGACAAGATACCCCACGCCCTCGGGGTATATGATTACAGAGCGCGTCACCGGTGATTTAAAAGCAGTCGGGACACACACGATGACGCCGGGGTAATGAACGCATCATGCTGCTCATCTCGACCATTGTGGCCAATGAATCTTCAGTTTGTTTATTCTTTTTTCATTTTTTGTCTGAGCCACTGCGACGTATCAATTCCTCCATTCTCCAAGAGATTACGTGTGTGTGTGTGTGTGTGTGTGTGTGTGTGTGTGTGTAAAACAACTGGAATCATCGCGTCACGCCTTAACTCACCGTTAAACGCGTCACTAACGCCAGTCGTGCGCTCCCGCTAAGAAAAAGAGTACTCCTGAAGTGTAGCAAGTAATTTTCATGTCCCAGCCTGTTTTTTCTCGTCTTGCCTAAAAAAGTGTAATTTATACCTTGAATCTCTTGGAGATTCCATAAAAATTCAACGACAGGGTGAACCAAAAACGTAGACCGATGTAGAGCTGTGGAAACTCCCGAGCAGATACAAGTAGTTCAAAAATATATTCAGGTGAATCGTTTTGTAATTGTAATTTTTTTTTCGATTCCTCTCCATCTTTATTACTTTACTTGTTTTGGTGGGATTCAAAAGACTACGGAATTACCTATGAGAAAAATTTGCCACGTTTTTCAAAGCTAAAGTTGACGCGGATTTAGGTTGCACCACTTTCGCACATGTCTAACTGCCAAAGTGATTTGCGAACAGCCACACAGCAGGAAATTATTTCTAGCAATTGACAGTGATATTGGCAGATTTTATCTGATTTTTAAGACAAGAATCCAAAGCGGGAATGATTTTGGTTGTGATGAAATGTA